GCTGTAGAAACTTTCCAAAACAATTTAACATCAGTTTAATATCAGGAAAACAAAGTCTGTTAAAGAAAGTAGTTTGAACTCTTGCCTCCTCATTTTCCTCTCAATCATGAAATTTACCTCCTCCCACCAAATTGGGACTCACGTAATCAAGCACATCCTTCCTGTACAGCCTCAGCAATAATCAGTAAAGCCCCACTGCAGTAGTTACCCTTACATGAAAAACCCTCAAGCACTTCTGTCCTCATACCATTTTTTCCTCAGTGTAACTTGGTTTCTGTCAACTCCCATGGATCTTCTCCTTACTTCATCCACAGCCTTACTCACCACCAAGATGCAAGAAGTACATTATCTACTCACGTTGAACACGGTGATGAGACCGTGCAAAAGCAGTACTTCCACGCTTAATAGAGAGGGAAGAGCTAATGGGCTTGGCCTTTGCATTTCCTTTGCACCAGTTTTGTCCTATGAAACTAAGAGTAGTCCCTTGTTCTGTGAGAATGAGGCAGTCTCCCACAGCAGCACTGAGTAGCAACATCCACACAGTTTAAGCTCCCCATGTTTTCTGCCTGAACATGCACATTCCTCTAACTTTGTGGATTGTTTTGTTTTAAAACATGGTGGAAAGCTACAGCTTTAACCTGACCAGGCACTTCCACTATTTGAAGCATATGACCTTTCATCTTAACATGTTCAAATATTTGCACTGCTATTTCACATTTAAACTGCTAGTAGAACTTCAAGTATTTGAAATAGATTATCTTGGAAGATAGGAACTGTTCCAGGAAAGTACCAAATGGTCTATATTCATTTGGTAACTCAGTTATGCAGTATATACAACATAAGTCACAATAATTACAATAGTTAATCCTGGTAAGAAGCAAGGAGGGGGGAACTGATTAAAAAAAAATCCTCACGTTTTACGGCTGAACAACAACGTGCAAGTTAAGGATACAGTTAACTAGTCTAACATAGGAAATACTGACATATAAACAAAACATTTAAATAAAGAATTTTCTACTAGGTTTTCAACACCTTTTCAGTCAGGACTGACTAAAATTAATTAGGACAGCTACAGTCCAGCCTACACTATGCAAACAGAAGAACATATACATTTATTTACACAGACAGAACAGCTCTGAATTTTGATTGTAGGAACACAAGTTCTGTAAACACTACAGATTATGTTATAGATTATGCAATCCAACATCACAATGCTATTATGAAAGAAACTGAAGAAGTAGTTTTCATATTTTAAGGAAGTAACCCCTACAGAATGTGTGTACTGTAGCTAAGCAAATAGGAGACTTTCAGAAAAATGAGCAGAAAAATCAAGGCAAAAGTCTCCACATTTCTTGTACCTTCAAAGTTACAAGAAAAAAAAAAAAGGAATACAATGAACTAATGTTCAGGTTAAAATATTTTAAAAGAAAAAAAGGCTCTGAATTACAATGTTTTGTACTTGAATACATCACACTTCACTTGAAGGGTGCAATATGCGTACCATATAAAACAAACATAACAATTTTAAGACCCTTATAAATAAATAATAGCCTGCCTGACCTTTCTGTGGCGTAAGTCGTAATTGGGCAACCTAAACAGAGTAAGCAGTACCTGCAATTCTGGACTTCCCATATTTCAGATATACAAAGTATTTTCTATTTAGCTATGGCTTTTAAATGACCAGATGTAAAAAGGGTTTCCAGTAAAGTTTCCTGCCACTGAACAAATGCATTTGCAGATTCTTCATGAGTCATGTATCACATGCAAAGGACAGAAAACGAAAGTCACAACTTTCACTGGACATTGTGGAACACAGAACACTAGACAACATTGTGGTGTAAGCGCTAGCTATCAAGAAATTAACAAAGAAACTGACTTTACTGATGACTGAGAATCTGCCCAATGCTTTCTGAGTATTCACTTTTTTCTTTTTTTAAAAATAAACACTACCACTACCAGTTCCACTTTAGACAGTATTCTTAATGAGCTGGGGGGTTTTTTGGGGGTTTTTTTGTTTTGTTTTTATAAAAAAAGGACACCAACAGCATGTATGATGTTTTTCCCTTAAGATTAAACAAGCCCCCCCCCAGTTCACTTCTTTGAAGAAATTCTTTGCTTGTTTTCCAGTTTTAATCTTGCTTGGCTTGAGAAAAAGGGACATTTTAATGAAAAAGTATCCCCAAAAGAACATTTAAGATCATATCTGACTCAAAATTTTGCACCATTACAGAGTAAGCTTGACAGCACAGCTTGATGTTCTGCCTTCCCCAAAAATAAGACTAAGTAACTCGGGCTCAACTATCTTTGAAAGGTCATAGTGATTAGGGGAGGTTCCCAAGGACTGGAAGAAAGCAAATGTCACTGCAATCTTCAAAAAAGGGCAAGGAAGAAGATCCAGGGAGCTACACGTCGGTCAACATCACCTTTAGCTCTGGGAAGATGAGCTAGCAAATCTTTCTAGAAGCCACTTCCAAACACATTGAAGATAAAAAGGTGATTGGGAGTAGTCAGTATGGATTCACAAAGGGAAAAATCACACCTGACAAACCTGGATGGCCTTCTACAATGAAATTACTAGCTTGGTGAATGAGAGGATAGCAGTAGATACTGTTTATCATGACTTTACCAAGGCTTTTGACACTGTCTTGCATAACGTCCTCACACAGAAAATGATGAAGTACAGACTGAACATAGGCACTGAGGTGGACTAAAAACTGGCTGAACTGCCAGTCTCAAAGGGTTGTGATCGGCAGTGTAAAGTCCAGCAGGAGGCCATTCATCAGTCATCTACCTCAGTGGTTGATACTGGGACAGATAATGGTTACTATCTTCTTTAAAGACCTGATGGGACAGAGTGCACCATCAACAAGTTTGCAAGTGATACAAAGCTGGGAAGAGTGGTTGATGCACTAGATGGCTGCACTTCCATCCAGAGGGACTTTGACAAACAGAAGAAATGGGCCAGCAGGAACCTCATGAAGTTCAACACAGGGAAATGTGAAGTCCTGTACCTGAAGAACAATAATCCCATGCACCAGTACACACTGGGGGCTGACTGGCTGGAAAGTAGCTTTTCAGAAAATGAATGGTAGACAAGCTGAATGCGAGTCAGCAAGGCACCCTCAAGTCAAAAAAGGCCAACAGCACCCTGGGTTGCATTAGGAAGAGCATTGCCAGCAGGTCAAGGGAGGCGATCCTTCCACCTGCCCAGCATTGGTGACACATCTGGAGTTCAGGGTCCAGTCCTGGGCTCCCCAGTACAAGAAGAACATGGACATACCGGAGAGAGTCCAGCAAAGGGCCACAAAGATTAGGAAGGGACTGGAGCATCTGACTTGTGAGAGAAGGCTGAGAGCTGGGACTGTTCAGCCTGGAGAACAGATGTACCAGGGGAGATCTTTTTACCAGTGTACCTGAATACCTGAAGGCGGGGGGGAATAAACAAAACTGAGCCAGACTCTTCTCAGCGGTACCCAGTGAAAGGACAAAAGGCCATGGGCACAAACTGAAAGTCCCGCTAAAATGTAAGATATTATCTCACTGTGAGGGTGTGTTGAATACTGGGGAACAGACTGCCAGAGAGGCTGTGGAGTCCCTTATCCTGGGAGATACACGAAAGCCAACAGGACATGGTCCTGGGTGACCTGCTCTAGTTGACCTTGCTCTGTGTGGGGGAAAGCTGGACTGCATTATCTCCAGAGGTCCCTTCCAATCTCAAGGGTTCTGTGATACACCTATAAGAATTTTTACACAACAATAGTAAAAAGAAAGGATATTCACAATTAGGTAAAGAAAAGAAATGCTGGTGGTACGTTTAACTTTGCGTAGGCATGCTTTATTCTTTGTTGTTTGTAAGGCTTTAGAATTTCAAGGCAGAACATGTAAGGAAACAGTAACAGTTCTCCTCTTGCATGTTACAGCTTGATTACTACTTCTAAACATCAGTGTTTGAAAGAAGAATGTGAAGAGAAAGCATATTTGGATAGTGTTTTTTCCCTTTTTCCAGAATGTTCTGCCCACATATTTATTAAAAAAGATTTATCAGCTCTTTCTCTTTATTTAAGCTTCCCCTATATTGTGATAAGGTTTGAGCTGCAGTGAGATGTTCACATGAACCGTTGCAATCCATTCTCCAGTCTCATACTGGAGCTCTTGTCTGTGTTTTTACCCTACAAATTAATTTCTCTTTATGATAAATAATTATTTTCTTCTGCATAAATATCAAACACAGGAACAGCAGACTCTAAGGGACTTCCCTATACCATCAAGTTCAGTCTCTTGCTATCACAGGTAGTGATCTCTCAATGTATTCAGATACTTCAAACCACTTCATTTTTCACACCTTTTCTCCCATTAGAAGCTGGTCCAGAACTGTGCTTATCTGGGTGTTAAAATATTCATCCTAGGTTAAAGATATGGAGAATGTATGTTTTTGCCAACACTTTTTCCTCACTGCAGCTGACCTTTCTCAAGTGTTCTGAAACCACGATCATAAGTTTTTCTATCAGCTTGGCTGGTTTAAAAAAAAAGAAAATTGAAGAAGTGTCCAGGCAGACACTAACATACAAAAGCAAATCTCACCATTCAAGATACCCAGTTGAAAGCAAGTGTCAGTCTAGAAGCCACAGAGTTAGCACATGTTGTGCTTGAGCCAGTAAGCTCTACCACAGGGGAAGGTTTATTAACCTTAACAAGGTCATGTGGTAATGTAAATATATAGCTTCCAAATTAAGACTCAAGCATGGCTAGACAATTTGGCAGCTGTTTGGTCCCATCCTTCTATGAAGATGTTCTTTCACAAGACAGGTTTTCTGCTTCATACTTCTTACAAATCCTTTCTCTGCACCAGTTAGTTCTACCTTCGCCTCAATCTCCAAAACATATGCATGACCAAAGCCGCACAAAAATATTCCAAATGAAGGATTACTATCTTTTACAGCGTCAATATGTCAATGATGCTGTTGGAAGAAAAAAAAAAAAAGATACTGAAGTTTTCTTACCTGTTGTGCTCCATCCCCACTAACAATAGGGGAAGTTAGAAGAGGGATTTCACTACTTATAATCGAAGTGGTATCCAGTAACGGTGGATGTTCTGCCATCATTGATGGTACACTAATTCACAAGATCACCTGCAAAGAAAAGTTACTCAAATGGTTAAACTATATAAATATTTCTAAATAATTGCCCTTAAAAAACAGCCTCACTTAAAAAAGTTATTAAATTAGACACCTCTGGAAAGTATGTTTCCACAACATTCCAGCAGCCATGTAAACTTGAAGATGCATTTTGCCAGCTAGTATAAGCCTTATTTATACAGAGGGTGGTTTAGACCCCCTCTAGCGGCTGAACCTTAGGAGAAGATACATCACAGCCTTGGAGCTAACAAACCTGAATCTTTTAACTTTGATTATAAACCAATATTTTGTCTAAGTTCGACTGGCACTGCTGACAAAAATGCCTACGGGGGGGAAGCAGTTGCCTTAGAACTTACATATATAGTGTTCTTGTTTTTATGAAACTGGTAAAAACCTAAGATCTACAAACAGGGACACTGTTTCTTTTGTTCTTTTTTTAATCACCAACCCACTTTTTTCTACTATTATAATGAACAAGACACTTATTTTAGGAACAACTAGTTGCTAGAGAAATGTCCAAGTGAGACACAAAGGAATAAAAAAAAAAATCTTCTGCACAACCTGACTTTTTTTTTTACTTTTAAATGTACTACATCCAGAAGTAAAGCTGTGTCACTTTGATAACCAGTGGCTCTTTAATGGCTTTACCAGCAGCTAAAACTCGGGGGGGGGGCGAGAAGAAGTAATGCCTGCACACAAAATTATAATCCTCATAACCATGCTACGAAAAAGCCCTCGCTAGCACACACTGTAAAGTTACATGAAATCTGATGACAAGAAAAAAGCCACACAGGCAAGAGGCCCATGAAAGCAATGATCCACTTCAACCCTGATGAGTGTCAAGTAACAGCATAACAGAAAGCAGGATTCAGCTGAGCGTTCCTTTCAATTACATTAACAAGTCAAAGTAATGTGTTTTATGGTGTTTTGCATGTAAGTGCTATACAAAGACTGGATGGAAGAATTAAGAGCAGAAAAGCTGAAGATTACCATTTTTCCATGCTAGAAATATGTATTGCAAGTCTAACAAGCTGCTTTTGAAATTATTTTGTATTTCATTTTGTTAAAAAAAAACAAAACCCAAAACATTAAGTTATACTGGTTTAGTGTATTGGTCTTAACTCTATCCCAGCTAAACTCAGTATACTTAGCTTTTGAAATAAAAAAAGAATTAGATCAACAAGAATTGAGAAATTGATATTTCTTAACAAAACAGAAAGACAGATGGAAAGAATTCACTAGAGGCAAGTGGTACATTCACAATTCCCACAAGTTAATCACATTTTGTATCTGAAAACAGTGCTTAACATCAAACAGACAAAGATTAAGCTGAGAATAAGCTTGTATAGTATTTCTGAAGCAGAACTGCCTCTCTTAGCCAGTACTTACAGTAGCCTGGTGAAAATAAGTAGGTACAGTTTTAAAGTTACACAGCCCAACAGTCAGTAACATTACAGGTTTTTAAAGTTTTGCCTTGTTATCATCTGGCTAATGAAACTCTCTACAAACACTACTAAACTTCTAACACAGATATACTGTCTGCTCATAAACAGAGAAGCCTACTAGTTATAGCATGTAACTTACTTTAAATGAAAAGATACCCAATAAAATTTAAGGAGTGATAAAGTCAGTTTAATGACACTGACTTTGGTACCAAATTCTGGAGATGGTATTTGGTTAACTTAAAGAGCTATTGTTTTCTAAAACAATCTCCATCCCACCCAGTTGACTGCTTTTACTTGTTTGTCCCTCTAAGGCAGATGTTGTACATCTGCTGTGGGTTGAAATCTGTAGTACAGCACTGTCAGTACCAGAAGACTCATGCAGAACAAAGACTTCACATTTTCTAGAGAATGCATTAACAAAGCACTATAAGCCTCTCATACAGCTATACATATACAGTATGATTTAGCTACTCCCATGCTGAAGGTTGTCCTACTATAAAACTATGAACTTGGAAAAAAAAGCATTCTGAAATTAGTTTAGAGGTTTCATTTACTTTCCTGGTATACTCTGCAAAATTAAAGTTGGGGGAAAAAAAAAATCCCTCTAGGTTAAAAGACTTTGAAACCTAACTGTGATTACTTAAGAATTCATTACCACTTATGCCATCATTTATACCTGCTCAGCCAGACTAATTAGTCTCTCAAGCAATGAGGACAGAGTTTTATATTCCTACCTTACTTTAAAAGCTTTCCCACTCATCAAAAAATCCTCCAGGCTACAATCAGTCCCCACCACTTCTGCAGGTGGCAGAGGGCTGATGAAAGTTACTTGGATCATCTTTCAAGCTAGCAAGTTTGATGGTAAGCTTCCCAAGATATTATCCAATGACTGTTTAATGTAAAATGAATGCACAGCCTGGAAGCAGAGGTTAGAATCAAGGCATCCCTCCTCCCTCAGTAGCTACAACCAGGCTTGTTCTTGTGACATCTCTTGATCTTACAGCTCCAAATATCTTCTGGTCCTATCTAAAGGGTCACAGACAGAAAGGTAATTCCAATACTTCAACCTATAACAAAACAGACTCCCCCTAGTAAGCTAGCTTGAATTTCCTCAGGTTTAAGTTGAATCCAGCTTGTTATTCCATGCTAACAGAAGCCACCATGCAAATGACTAGTTTCTTATATTAAAAAAAAAGCACTAATCTCCTTTATCACACACAATGACTTTTGACTGAATTCATAAGTTATGATGCACTCAGTGCTATCACCATTTATTAGGCATAAATCAAAACATGTCTATCAAACTGGACACCAGTGAGAATTAAGCGTAACCCAAACTGACTCAAATATGACTGTCACGACAACGCGTTCAGCCCTTCCAAGACACAAGCAGCTCTGGATATACCTAACATTAGTCTCGGGTTCATTCATTCATTCTCTCACACAGGTGTTTAATGATTCGATTTGTACAAAAGTTACGTTCCCACAGGCACTGAGTGCTTAGGTGGGTAGTCCACCTTTTGCACACAGCCTTCAGTGCCTTAAGTGGGACACAGCTAAATTCCACGTCTGGACCCAACTGTTTGATTTATTCTGGGGCCAAAGCACACTGCTCATCAATAAACCCTGACAGGAGGTACTAGGTATAGTGTTATTCCTGACACTCTCTACAACAATAATAAAAGTGCTACCTGTCAGACTGTGTAATCAATCTAGGGAAAAAATAAATCAATGCTTTCTGGACAATACAATATTAGATTCCTCTCCAATGCCACTGAACTAGTCTTGAAGTCTAAAGGTTTAAACTTCACTCCATTGTGGGTCTATGCTACATGTATCCTCAAAAGCCTTTTACCTATCAGCAGTCAAGAGGCAGCAATCTGTACAAGTCAGTGCATATAACCTGGTCAGACATAAGATGTGGGATGTCCACCAGCTGCAGGTGCCTTTTCTTTTTAGCTATGAGGACAAGTAAAGACAGATCAGAATTTGAAAAGGGAGAAGTACTGTGTGGCAGAAGAAGTCAGATAAAATGGAGAAAAGGTTGGCATCAAAATAAGCAGAAATGCTCAATAAGCATCTTGGAAATAAATGCCATTATATCACATTTGATACAAGGATATCAAATGGGCACAGACAGAGCTTTTAAATCAGCAGACCCAGATAGCTTGCATTCAAGACTTCTAGAAGAAGAGATCTACCTAGATCTTCGAAAAAGACTTGCAAATAACTTGAGTCATGGGAAAGTCTCAGAGGTCTGGAAGATGACTAGAAGTCTTGCACTAAATACTCAATTGTAAAAGGGCAAATGGGACAATCTAGGCCTATTAGCAAACAGCGATCTGAGACCAAATAAAAGTGAATAGTCAACACTGGATGTTATTTGTAAAGAATTAAAAGACAAGTATGATTGATGGAAAAAAAGCTTATCCAATTAACTTGATGAGAATCTTCTGGTGATGGCTATTGCTGATAAAGGTACCAATAAGGAAACTGGAAAAACAATCTTAAACCTTATTTGGCATTACACAACATTTCTCTTCAACAAAAACACAGAACAGATATTACATGGATTACAACTGGACAGACAGTCCTTGAATATTAACAGTAAATACAGAGTTGTTGAGCATGTGAGTTTCCAATAGGAAGGGAAGGTATTAGTTCTTGGCTTCTCATTACAGAACACGTTTTTAACTCAGCTCTCAGGAGAAAAAGAAAAAAAAAGAAAAAAAAGGAAGTCAGAAGGAAGTCTGGAAATGACAAACCATGACAGTGATAAGAGATCGAGTCATTTTACTCCACTAAAATGGCATGAATAGCTTAAAAAGCTAGGCATAACAAAAGGTTTTAATACATAAAGGTAAAGCTATTCTTTCTAAACCAAAAAAGAATGAACTCAATCCTGTGAAGGGTTGATTCTGAAAAGGATAGAATAATAAAAGTGGACAGCCATACACAAGCTCCCCAAAAGGCTGTATCAGTTATATCAACAGGTGTACTTCATTTAGCAACAAGGAGGATATTTTCCCTGCCTCTGGCTGCAGATAACCACAATCTCTACTGGAATAACATAACAAGCTTTGTCTCCAATTTGTGGGCTTAAAATTTTTGATACCTGTTCAAAAGAGTAGTACAAGTGACTACAATTTCTTGAAAATATTGTTCCTTATGGGAAATACTGAAAGCAAAGTATGTGCATACCATAATTTCAGCCTCACTCCACATACACCTGCTCTGGATGATGTAACCAACTTCCAACTCCATCTAGCTTCCTAATATACTCAGGATTTAGTGACGTCTTGAAAAAGACACAAGAAAAGCAACTTGCATTTGGACAACAGGTAAGGCTCAGCCTGCAGAGCCACTACAAACAATTCACTAGCCTATTGTCAGATTTCCTGCACCACTGAAAATGAATGGGTGCATGCAGCAGCCTTCAGAAGGGGTAAAGTAACACGTGGGATAAATCTAAAGATTTATTTAAGGCCAACTCACTGCACCATTCTTGTGGACACATTAAAAGGGACCAGACAAGGAAGATAACACACT